GTTGGTCCTTTGTCCGCCTTGTTCCCCCTTCTCCCGTGAATATTTTCGCATTTTTGTCAGTTTTTGAATTTAATTGCACCATCATCGCAGATATGATCTTCTTCGAAAATTGTGTTAGGGAAACTAAAACAATTCCTGAAACCCGCTCGCGAGATGCGAAGCAAACAACAAAAAAATGTAAACGGTTCTGGGATCAATAAAAAGAAATACACTTTGAATCAAGCAAACAAAGAGCATGATCATCCTCATAAAAAGCAGACAGACTATTTTTGGAGCAATTTTCTTTGATCATATAAATTAAGAACTTATCAGGAGAGTAATCTTATTACTTTTTGTTGTACTGATATTACTTGTAACCATCAATATCTCCCCTCCGCTTTCAATTTGCACAATTTGTTTGCACAGGTTTTCTACCAAGATATGATCGGGCCAAGTCCCCAAAGGCAGGATTGTTTTTCAAACTTGTTGGACTAAGAATATAAGTAATTTATAGTTTGCTGATCCCAATCCAACAATAAAGAGTACGAAGTACCCATTTTCAAACAAGCCGAAACATCTTTCTTTTTTAGTTTTGAAGTCACCGGGAAAGAACCCAATTCTCAATTAATCGAGTAATCTTAATGAACACTTCTTTTTAAAAGAGTAATAGTAATCTTCATGGCTTATTCCTTTTTAGTAACGCGCGCAAGTCTGGCAAAAGAACACACGCGGCAGAAGGAAGAAGCAGCTACGATTTCTGCGTGTGCGCCGCTTCTGTGCGGCTTCGTAAAACTGGAATGAGGTCTGTGTCGTTTGTTCGAGGGAAGCGCGGCTCCCTTCACCCGAGGGACGCAAAAAGTTGCAATCCGGGATCCGGCGGCGGCGGAGGCTCCGGTTCAATACGGCGGACGGTACAGAGACGCGAGCCAGCGGCACGACACGGTCCCACGAATCGACCCATTAAAGCAGAAAACTGGGTGGCTAATTAAGCGGCCAGATAGACGAACCGTTTCGGCCCGGCGCGGGCAGCTCTTCGAGTCGATTTCTGGGCTACCGATGTCCCTAGCCCCCCCCCCCCCCTCCGCCCAGATTTCGGAGCGGCAGCATCCTCCCGGTCCCTCGTGTGTAGCCGCCTAAAGTCGATTGATGTTTGCACGCCGCCGCCAACTCCCCAAGGCAGAAAACGTTCTTTTTTCTTTCTGTATGTTGCTCGTTTAGTTTTATCGACTGAGTTGGTGTTTCGGAGAACGAAGAGCAAGCAATGAACAAATTTTCGCAGAAACGTATTCTAGAGTGGAGCGTTCGTCGACATGTTTGTCGTCGTTGGTACCGACCTTCATTAAGCTGCACTTCTTGTTAGCGTAAGCAGCAAATCCACCATGGTCACTAGAAATGCGTGAAATCGGGAACCTCTTGAGGTTTATTTCATTCTCGTTTTAAAGCAGAATGTCTCATCAATATTGATATGAATCCGCTGACTGAGGTTTTCTGTGAAAGACGTGTGACTTCTGACAGTCATCAACTAACGGCACATCTACGTGAATTAACTTTGAGTGGTATCAGTGTGGTCAGTAAATACTATACATTTTACGTCTCCTCGAACCAGTCTAGTATTAAGTTTTAAGGTACGGAAAAAATAAATGTATCTGCTACATATTTACGAGAATGTTTGAAAGCTGGGAAAACTCTGCAAAATATTTTACATGGCTGACTTTAATACCGACCAATTGAGTGACCCGTCAAACGAATTACCGTTTTTGCCATTGTGTATAGAGGGCCGGGATTATGAAATTCTTAGTGGAACTAAAATTACCTTGTCACCATGGTGATATGCCATATGCTGCTTAAATAAATAAATAAATTGCCAAAAAACGCCAAAACCTTTCATAAAGTGCAAAAATATTTGCTGCCGAAATCATTTTATGGCATATGCCATATGCCTCTTCGACCGTAAAATAGTTTCTTTAAATTGTGGCAAGCCCAGCGGCGACACCAATCAAAGTTTTAAATTTCGATTCGATTTTGTATTTGCGATTTTTAATCAAGGAGGTTCTTGCCAGATTACAAAATTCTCAAGCAATATTTTGACTAAAAGGATTATCTGTTAATTAAGTGGGGCTGTAATTCTACCGGCGCTGGTTAAGGACCTTAGACTATGTAAACGCCAAAAGGTTTGTTTGAGAATATGGATTTCAGGAGTTTACAATAGACCCTTTCCGAAATTCAGTGCCATCTGGTGGTTCGTATAGGAGTTTCGCTTTTGCCCTACCAATGGCGGTAATGAACTTGTATTTCATCGGACACCGTCACTTTCGCAAGTCAAGGGCACGCGAGAAATTGTTCAATGTGAGTTCTTTCTTGACCACTTTCAGTTCGATAATGACCAAGAACTTGCAGAACAAAGGTCTAACCCACACAGATGCCTCGATAAATTTCTATCCACCAGAGGGGTTTAAAGCCGATTGTGTGCCGCCCACAAATTGACTGAATCTAAGTTAGAAATGAACGCTCACGTAGCTCTTGTGTTCCATTCCTACGTCGTGTTGTACTAACCCCCCGAATGTACAGGCGTCGCATCATCTGCTTAGGAGCATCTTGAACGTCTTCCTATATCAGTCACTAGAAGGCCGCCATTGGTAGGACACCGATGCCGTTCCACAGATGATGATAGTGATCAAAGTGGCCAGACTGAATTTCGGGAAGGGTCTATTGATACCGTGATCCGCATTTTTATACTTCATAAATAAAGCCTTAAATTTCAAGGTAATCGCAAAGGCTCTGGCGAATTCAAGTCAGGAAAATATAAACGTATGCATCTTTCGGCATTATTTACATTCTTTATGGTCCGGGCGTTAGTTAACACGGCCCAAAATAACAAAAGCATCCCTAGTTCCAAAATCGGGCTGCGCATACCACCTCGAGCCCAACAAAAGCAGGGAAGCAGACTGTAACAATAACCTCCAACAAGGTTTCAAAATAAGCTGTAAACTGTTTTCTTCACCTGGAAATTTTCACTGGCGTGGTGAAGCAAAAGTGTACGAAGTTTGATGGTAGCCCTACGGTTTTTTTATGCTCGCACATTTGCTGCGTTAATTGTAATTCAGCATTTCGTTCAGCTTATGGCGCAACAAAAATATTTTGAGTAGTTATAGGATGCAATTATATAGTTGTCGATGACTATAGCTTTAAGATGTATCGTACCACGCAATACAGAAGTCGATCGCAATATTGATGTTCAAACGACCCGACAGCGAGTTGACAATGGAGGCTTAACTCCGAGAGATTCATTATCTCAAATAGCAACTCCAAATTTTATGCGAACAAAATGTGTGTTTTGTCTTTTTTTCTTTCTGATAACAACTCATAGATAACGTAGTACTGCGGCCATAATCTCAATCCACCTAGCAAATGCCTCTTTCCTTCGTTGGCCTGACACAGACGGCTGCTCCTACTGGGCCAGTCGCGACGCAAACTACACCTTTTCCAAACTCCCACCCGTATCGCTTTCTGCCGTCGGGTCGTCGAGCGAGCTCCCCCCTTCCATTTTCTAAACACGCAACTATAATTAGCGCATCTCTCGCTACGTCGCCCCGGTAATCGGCACGAGTCAACATCGCTCGTAGCGCCTGCCGGCGCCCAGTCGAAGCCGACTCTCCCCCAAAGGGGGCGGCAGGGAGAGCGAGGGAGGCGACCGGACCGTCGTTAATTATCGGTGTGGAATACCGGAGAGCGACGTCTTTCAGGGACGCACCCTAGTCTCGCAACCAGGCTGGCAGTGCCGTCGAAGACCGCCCACGTACGCACCAATCAAGCCCGTCGTCCTCTCGCCACGTGACCTCGTTCAATTGCCGCTTCGTTTAGTGCGGAGCGTAGTCACGCGATTACGTTCTCAGAGTTGAATGGTCCGGCGAACCTGACGCACTGTTAGGAGCTTCGGGGGCGAGCGGAGTGGAGGTTGTGCGATCGCAGCCGGCGAGTTGCCGATAATCCGACGCGATTAAATACGTCCGCCACTGCTCGCCACGGGCTCTCGCGTGTACACCGCGCATTAGGGTGTGAAGGTTTGGGAAGAAGGAGGCGAGAAGAATTCCAGGTTCCGACTAATCATCGGTTGCGAGACCAGGCCGACGTTTGTGCGACGCGAAGTGCCGGAGAAAACGAATGTGTGTGTGTGTTTTGGTGGGTTCGGTAAATAGGATCTGCGCGATTGGTTTGTGGAAGGTGGGCGTTGTGTCGGCTTGAACGCCTTCGGTTAGGACTGACCGGAACTCAAGCCGTTCTGTTCGCCGGTACCTCGCAATTTCGGAATAATGGGCGAGTGTCGAGAGAATGGTGCTACGTCGAGAGGATGGTACCACCTCAGGAAGGAGATCTACTGACAGAATTATTACCCTCGGTATCTAGTTTATGAAGTGTCTCAATTTTTATCTAGAGAAAAAGATGTGATGTGTAAATACCCTCATGATTAGTTGATAGCTCACATTCCGTGCATTCAGTGGCAGTTCAATTACGTTCATTGCCGAATACACGGGGTTCTTGTCAACAAAGTGGTTTACTTAAAATTGCGCTTGGCCCGGGGCAAGAGTGAAAAAGTGAGCTTGAGTGGGCCGGCACAACAGCGATCGGCGTGGTTTGATTAAAAAATAATTACTGGTCCCGACACAGACGTCATGATAATTCCGACAATAAATAATTTCATTGATTTAATATCCCCGTTTGTCACTTAGAGTAAGCAAGCTGCGTGTGTTGGACGGTTTATTTTCTAACTTTTCTATCGCCTAATGCATTCTAACCGGGGCAAGTATTCACGTCCCTTAACAATTGTTTTTTTCAAAAGCATGAGTGTCAACTTTTTTTTTTAATAAATCTCTGTTTGTTTTGCATCATAACCAAGGAAATCCGAACGAGCAGATAAACAAAACAATAAATTAAAAGATTGTATTCTTAATCTGATATTTAGTAGTTCCTCACGTCTTCTTCCAGATCCTGTTTAACACTAAATGGCGTATGTTTTCTTGCAGCTTCACTCAAGAGGATACGCCAACGGCAGATGGCCTCACGTCTTCCCTTCGGTTCGCTGCAGCCGAGCGGAGCGACTCCGGACTGTACACCTGCCTGACCTCCAACAAGTTTGGAAAAGACGAAACGAATATCAAGCTTCTCGTTCAAGGTAGTCATCTCCGCTCACAAAAGCGCTACGGCCTGTTCAGTTTGGTGCTTCTGTTTGTTCCCCGTGTCTCAAAACATGCTATTACACCAAGAAAGAATGACTGAAGAGGGAAAACCAAAATCAAAAAGAAAAATTGGTAAATCACAAACTTTCTGCGAAAGCAAGCAAAGCGAAATGAGTACTGCATACAAATAAAGGAAGACATCGCAACGTATTCGCGGTTGTTATATCCATATCGCAGCGAAGGGAAAGAAATGTTAAGATCTGCAGCTGTTAACAAAATAACTTAATCTATTTAGCGATAACTTGTTACTTAACAACAGGCGTATTTGTGACCGTAAAAAAATATCTCGAAGGAATTATGTACTATAACGCGACTTTAGAGAGGTTATTTAGGCTTTACCCTCACGATTAGTAATCTTCGCATTTTAGCGTAATCCACGCGCTGTCGGTCGATCACACAAATGAACGCCCGTACATCGCACGCACGTAACAGTTCGCAATAAGAGGTAAGATCGAAGCTGCAAAGTGAGAGGGATACTAAACCTGAATCTGTCGATCGACCACAGGAAGGAACGCCTGTGGTCAATCGCATTGACTCCTATCCCTGATGCTGCCAAGTAAATGAGAAGGAAAACTTACGAATCAATCGATCAGAGAAATAAACGCATGTACAATGAATGTACGTAATCGACCACAATGATTGCTATGTCTGATGCTGCGAAGCGAAAGGCATAGTATACTTAAAACCATCTTAGAGGTTAGCGGTTGTAGCGACACACTGATTACACAATTTCCTTCCCAAACAACTAAACTATTCCGGGCCGCGTGTGGTAAGTAAGTGGTAAGTTGTACGGTGACGAAACTTACCTTAACAAGGGCGTAAGACAAAGTCCTCGCAGACAATGCTCGAGAAAGATGAGGGGAGCGAGGACGAGACATATGACAGGAAAGCACTTGAAGGGGCGGGTGGAAGACACGCCGCGAACATTAATGTCGGCCACACGGAGGCGAAGCAAGAGTCAAGGGCATTTGCAGTTAAGTCACGTACCAGCAGCGGCAGTCAACAGTTTTTAGTAGTTTTCGTATTGAGCGCATATATTTTTTCTTCCCGCTTGAACACGACAATAGCCGACATGTACGTCATATCTGCGCAATTTCTAAAGGTTATGGAACGCGTGTTACATAAAATGGTTAGTTAATATACAATAAAGCGCAAGAGAGACACGACGAAATAAAGAAGACAGGACCGCGCTATGTATGCCTCTTGCGCTTTCTATATTTAGTACGTTGAACCAACTAGCCCACCTTAATATTTTACTAAAATATTCATATTTCTGAATATTGGGATTTAAAAAATTACTGAGTTTAATTTATGTCATCTTTCATCACGAGGACTACGGATGTTGTAACTTAACCTTCTGTGTTCATTCAGTTACTTTGGCGATGGTTAATATCAATCACTATTTCACAATTTGCAGAAAGGCTGGGAACGACACAAACATCACTTAAGCATGCTATAAGGGCCACCGAAACGCCCAACGCATGCAACTGCCAAGGAAACATCACATCGTTGTTGTTGTTCTTTCAACCAATCCAGATAAAGTCTAATGGACTCGAACGGTCGCATTTGGCGCTGCCTGCATCGCATTGCGGTAGCCTTCGAACATGTGGCCGCCTCCTTTGAAACCGGCGCCGCCCAAGCACCCTTTCAGATCAGATTTAGAACGCCCAGTTTTCAGAGAAATCAACTAAAGACGACAGAAAGAAACGGTAACCAAGCGGCGGGCTTCTTTCGTTCCTTTTGCCCTGCACCATCTTCCGCGTCCTTCCATTCTTGTTTTTACTGCTTTTGTCACGAAAAGCAAAACCTAGACAGGAAAAACAAAAAAAGTACATCGTCTTACGCTATTTTTTGAGCAAGGAATTATTTCATGGCCCATTGCGTACCCGGCTTTCATGGCGAAACCATCGCTCAAGCAATGTTTCTTTAGGATCTGTCACTTTATTTTTTTGTTGTTGTTGTCTCCCCGAGAATTCAGAAGTTCTTCTATTGCTCCGCGTTCACTGGTGGAAGCTCTCGAGCCCCGGTGCTCATATCAAAAGCAAACAAGAATTACCCCTTCGCGATTACGCTTTTTTCCCCCTTTGTGAAGTATTATGCACAAGGTAAACATTCAACCGCGGTAAAAGCGAAGGTTGAAAAAAAAATAAAGTTATATGTTACAGAAAACAGCGTTTTGCATCAAAATATGTAGACGATATGAGTTTGAATATTGTGAGCAAAAAGATTAAATTTAGTTGGGATTATATTTTACTTTTTCTACTTTCTAGCGAGACGCGTTCGTTCTTTGTCCAGACCTGAATTACTTAGGATTAAATCCCGGAATTTCAAATCGTCTATTTCCCGATTTTCTAGATTTGCGTCGACTTGGAACGTAAATATTTAACTGTAGTTGTCAGGGTTCCATGCCTTGTTTGGTTTTGTATTCCGGTTTGAATAATATTTATTATATTCAACATGCCGCCAGCATTTAAGGTTCTAGAGAAAGGTGCGTTTGCAAGCAAGAAACAAGGAAATAGAATTGAGCTATTGGATATATTGTAACTATCGTAGAATATTTGTAGACAACGGTAATTAACACATTTATGAATTGTTGGTCATCCAGAATTATTAACCTTTGTGAGTGCCGGAAGGCGATCCCACTCTTCACTCTAAAAAAAGCCTGTGCGTCTGCTTTCCCGCACAACACTCGGAGAGTCAATCACCGCAACTTACGTAGGCAGCTCAGCGAATGACGATGGCGAAACATATGTTTAGACCAAAAAACGCAGTCTGCGCTGTGATATTAAGCAATGCGAAACGTCACGCTTGCATTGCTTAATGTCACAACCCAGACTGCGTTTTTTCATCTAAATATATGTTTCGGCATCGTCATTCGCTGAGCTGCCTCCGTAAGTTGCGGTGATTGGCTCTTTGAGTGCTGTGCGGCAAAGGAGACTCACGGGTTTTTTTAGAGTGTTTAGATGGGCGTTATTTAAACGAAATGGCTGAAAATGTATGTTATACCCGTGCCACACGGGCCATCCGAATGCCATTTTCAACGAATGACAAATGACAAATGCCAGGCTTCCATTAGGCTGCCCCGCTAATGGACAATAATATTATTATCCCTTAGTGGGGCAGCCTAATGGCAACCTGGCATGGCGAGTCCCAAGTATATAATTTCAGTGTGACCGACATTGGTACCGCTTACAACCACCTATGGCGAGATGGTTGCTATGAAACGCAAAGTGTTGTAAATCAGCACATCATACTAAAACGTGGATGTTTCAACCGGCCTTTACTCTTGAATGTAATAGAGACAAAAATGGCTGGCGATCTGTGCGTGGTTCTGTTTTCTTTTTCGAACAGAGACGCCCGATTCTCCGGATGACATCCGCGTGGTGGAAGCGTCGAGCCGCCGCATCACTCTGCGATGGAATGCGCCCTTCAATGGAAACAGCGACATCATCGGATACTTCATTCAATGGAAAGAAGTTGCTGGTAATATCAATCACTCGCTATGCTGAAACGATTATAATACGGAATGTGAGGAATAATCTTAATACGTAAAGGACGAGCGTGTTGTTAATAGTAATGAAAATGAGGAAGGGACAACAACGACAACAAGGCTATTTGGAAGTCTGTCCCTTGTCCCTTCCTCATTTTCAATCAACTTTATCATACAATTTTTATGTAATATAAAGTGGTTGGTAGCACTTATTTTTTTTTCTTTGCAGCTACTTAGTTACAAAAAAATTCTCATAAGAAAGTTTATTTCAGAAAAGACAACATACAAAAAAACAAATTAATTTTTAATTTTTTTTTTATATTGTACTGTTTTTCTTAAAGAAATGGTAACAAACTTAGCTCATCTTAATTGGGTTGTTTTGGGATGAATAGGAAGAAAGACAAAGTTGATACATCCAAATATCATGAAGATGTTCATTAGCTGAGATTTACTTGCATGTGGCCCTGGTGAAAATGCAGGTTCCTGGCAAAAGGATGCCCGGCAATTAGAAGTGAGCGCAGCAAATACTACGGCAGTACTGGACGATCTGCAGCCGATAACGTCGTACCACCTTCGTGTGCTCTCGGTGAACCAACTGGGGCGGAGCGACCCCAGTTCTATGATATCGGTCACCACAGATGAAGAAGGTGAGTTTTTAGTCAACGTAGGTCACCTAAAGTTTTGCTTTTTTTTTAAATGTTGCCTTTTTATCATGGTTTAGGCCAGACTTTCTGGCTAGATTGTGTTCCAAACCTTTATATTTTAGAATCCCGGGTGTCTGCGGGAGTGCCATTGAATGGAAGTGGGCATTATGCTGCTGCGTTTGACGATACTGGAATGGCGTAATAAAAATACGGTGACATCGCGAATATGCGTCGTTTTATAAAATCTTGAAATAGAAATTAGAATCAACGTCGTGTTCAAACCCTATTCGTTATCTGTTTTTTACTTTAAATTTTTTAGTACGTTCAAATGTAAATAGCACTGACTATGTTCGCTAGTGATTAATGACATTTGTTTTATTATGTCTGAAAAAAATGACTCAATTCATAAAATATATTAAATGAACCTTTAACAACTCAAACGTGCCTTTAAATATTATTTACTAAATATCTCGAATTACCCAATGCTTTATAAAAACATGCTTAACATACGTATAAACGAACAAAAAATGAAAAGCAAAGTTTTACATTTAGTTATGCGAATGCTATTGAGCTTTTTCTTCCGAAGGTTGGTCTCCTACTTTATAATAGGCGAATTCTAAAATTGTAGCCGAGTTTAGACGCGTATGTAAAATCTGTACGAATAGTGCATTATTATGACGACAGATATTTGAGAGGCTTCATTACTCCCGTTGCTTTTTGCTTCAGTGCCTTCCAAGCCCCCGGAGGAGCTCGTAGTGGTTCCTGTCACTTCCCAAATACTGAAGGCCTCTTGGAAAGTGAGTCAACAGAATCATAATGGTTCTAGATTTTGGTTGGAAATTCATTCATTATCCCGTTACTAAAGCCACTCTTCAGAAACGCCAAGCATAAACGATTCTAATCACGTTTCTCTCTTCGTGATCTGCGCTTCGGCGTCCTGATTGGCTGATGCCAGGATGCCATTGTAGGCAGAGCGATGACAAGATACCTGGCACTATCGCCGCCCTGAGGTTCTTAAGCTATCAGTGCATTCCTGAGTCTATGAGGATCGCAAGGTCGTCCGCTTCTCGCGCAGGAGCGGCGGTGACGTCAGAACGATGAGCTATGATTGGCTCTGATTGGAAGGATAGTGGGTAAAACCTCGGTGCTAGAGGCCTTGAGATATAGCCACTATCCTTCCAGTCAGAACAAATCAGAACTCGGCTTTGTGACGTCACCGCAACCCCTGCGCAGGAAGCAGACGAACTTGCGATCCGCATAAAGTTACTGACGGTTAAAGAAACGCAGGAACGCACGGCGTGTGCTCACTGTGTTCACACTTCTTGCTTTGCGTTTAGTTTCTCGGCGTTCTTATAGACCAATTTTGGAATTTCATTGGATGTAGGGCAGTAATAAGATGCTCGTGACATGTAACATCCTACGTATATTTGGATATAAGTGACTAAAGTTCGAAATGTACATATATATATATATATGTATATATATATATATATATATATATATATATATATATTACGAATACATTTCGTGCTAAGCAACAGTGAAAGAAAAGATGCGGTGAACATATGAATATGAAAAGAAGAGCAGTTTCACAGAGGCCTGGTCATACACTTAGGGCTCGGTCCAACATAGATTCACGCGCCATTGCCATTGAATAGTCTAGTATTTTGTTTTAAACTTTGGACGCCGTAACTTATGCCATCTGGTATTGGCTAGTATAAGCGGAAATGAATGCTCTAGAACAGAATATGACTTTTAAATAGCTTCTTAAGCCGCTTGTGAAAAGAGGAAAAAAAAATAGCTGCTCTTACTTTTTGTAAAGAGATAAACGTCTTCACGACGGCTGTTCTTTTTTTTTCGCTTTTGCAAAAACGCGCCCACAAAAGATTACATTTATGAGCAAATGCAGATGTGTACCAAAACACTGAGTTGCTGAAATATTCATCGAGGAAGAAACGTTCTTTATTTGACTTAAATAAATAATTTGCATTCACGAGAATTTTTTTTTTCTAGAGCTGCGTTTATGTTGTTTAGAATTATGTCATGTCGGTGCGTTCCTAGCGTCTGCAGCGCACAAAACACTCCAATGGCAATGTCGGTTTTTGTGCTGCGCAAAACAAAACCGAAACATTTCCCTAGAAGACTTTAACTATCAGAACCTCAACTGCACATAAAATGTTATAATATATGCGGTATGCCTGATTGTGCTGTATGGTGAAACAAAAGCAGACAAAACATTAATGGTAACCACTAAACTTAGTTTGGTCAAAAGACTCACGCATTATTTTATTAAACATCGCAGAGTTCATAGATATGTATGGTTAAAAATTAACTATTATATTCCACGTATGTCTATTTTGTCATATTGTTGCTCGCATACATTACACCCGTAAATCTTACACTTAGTAACTGATCGTCTATGGTTTCTACATCGTCCTCTTTATGTATGATGAAATTAACTTTTCGAAAGCCCTGTAACTTTAGCTTAGCACATAATGAAATTATTAAATATTTTACTCCTGCGACTAATCATATCTTAATTTGGTAGCAATGGGGATTAATCTGCTCGGATTAACTAAGATGTGATTTTTCACCTTTGGTTCAATCTGTTAATCACTGTGTTTCAATCAATGAAGCCATTGCTTCCGAACGTGATTCAGCAGTAATTCGTGAAAAAGTTGCTTTTCAATATATATTTGGTTTTGGGGTGTGTTTATGTCCGGTACTGTTTTGTTTTGATCATTATCACATGGCAGGGCGACACATCTAGTGTCTCGTTAATTCCAGTATACTATGTTTGTTTTTCACCATTGGTTAGATTTTATCCTGTCGTATTTGTTGTCCTAAAATTTATTAACCGTATTCATTGCCTTTCTCTTGCCAGGCCCCTCTATCGTGTAATACATTCCACACGAATGTCTAGAAGAGAAGTAAACTTGATCTAGAACTAAATCAATGTTCGTTTCAGCCTCCACCCAACTTCTCCGCTCACGGCCGCATCCGGGGCTATTACGTGGGCTACAAGCCCCTCGGCTCCGGAGAATCGTTTGTATACAAGACCATCGACGTGTTGGACGGCTTCGTGCCCGAGATCAGCATCGGTAACCTGAAGCGCTCTACAAAATACACGGTCATCGTGCAAGCATTCAACGGCAAAGGCGCCGGACCACCGTCGCCGGAAGTCACAGCACAGACCTTTGAACACGGTACGGTAAAGTTGCGCAAATACCTCGGTGCCAATGCAATAACGAATAAAGTATCATTCACTAAATTAATTATTTTTTTTCAGTTCTAGTCAAAAATGTTTTAAAAGCCAGGATTCATGACTACAAAGCAAATATCTCCAATAGAAAATAAAGCACAAATACTCCAAATACAAAGCAAATTCATGATTACAAAGGAAATACCAATTTCCTAGGCAGCACTGATGATGTCTCCCGCACGGGAGACAAAACGTCTTCTCATAAATTCTTGACATTGTTATATAAGCTGGAAGTATTTGCTTTGTATTCAATTTTTTCAGCGCTTGTTTTCTTTGTCAATTAAACAAACAGGGTTCCTAGAATTTATTTCAGCGTACATTTTAATGATATTGATTTCAAACAACTTGGTGTTGGAGAGAGGTTGGTCATAACCATGACCTATTGTCACCCTGACCTGCCCAGCTCGCCTTGTAGAAGGGATCGCGACCGCAGCGTTTCGTCACGTAATCACTACGCGGCGCTACGTAGAGGCCTTTTTGCTTCATAGGGCACCCGCATATCGACGAGAGAAGGCGTTATCTGGCACTGTCCTTACTAAGCTAATTTTCCGAGATCCCACCAGTGGGTGCGCGAGGTATGTGTGGCTATGGGCGCCGGCTGCCAGCAAAGTGGCTGCCATGGGGGCAATAAATGATCTGATAGCATGCCGTATTTTAATGTTCTTTTTTCGTCGAAGTGGTTGGCACTGTTATTGTTTCAACAATTTCAGCAAATTATAATGGAGACACTGCAATGTGTGCCAACTACGGAGTTGGCGCTTAGCACACAGATTCATATTTAAATCGAAAGTGCATTCCGAAGATTTCCCCCTGCAACTGGTCATATTAGTTCTTACTCTATATATTTATACTACCAGCATTTATACGTATTTTTGACAAGAACACGCACAGGAAACAACAGTCTTCCAAATATTTTATTTCGACATGTCAAATCACCTGCAACAAGTTCTATAATAGCAATAGGAAAACTTCGTGAGGTGAAGGGAACGTACCAGCCGACGACATTGCGGGAACTGTACTTTCATCATAACCTGAAATCTTCTAACAAAGAGCCATTCAAATTTGTGGTACTTAAGCTGCCCGTTTCTTGTTCGCCTTAATTCCAATCCGACTCCTAACAAACTCTACACAAAAGGTTTTCTTACGCAAAAAGAAAGAAAATAAATGAAAGACGTTTACAACCTCCTGCAACGCCGAATTAGAGCGCAGCTCTTGAGGAGGAGGAGGGGGAAACTGAGAGGAGAGTAGGCCCCCCTCTCTCCCCTTCGTCATGTGACATCCGAGAGTCACGTGACTCTCGTGACGTCACGGTTACGCCGACGGCGACGGCGACGCCGCTCAAGCTGGAAATAAGTGCCTAAGAGCTGCGCTCTAAAAAAAAGATGGAGTCCGGACAAATTTGTGAGGTGGCACAAAATGAAGTCCTATCTAAAATCTACTAGTATGCTTCCTTTCCCCCTAAAGAATGCACTGCCTCAATTCAGACGACATTGCAAACGATCGCGCTCTTCTGCTGCCACAGCTTTGCGCGGAACATGCTCCTTGAATTGCTTCGCGAAATATGATATCGCGGTAATCAACTGCAACCAGCAGCGCGAAAGGGAGGTTGTGAATCGCGTTCAGGCCACAGAACAGCGTGCAAAGAACGTCCGAAATGATGAAATAAGGCATTATAACGGCGATATTCTACCATTGAGAGCCATTTTATGGGCAACTCACAATTGCAGTAAGTCTTGATCAGAACGGCTGTACGATAGAATGCTCTTCGAACTGGTCTCAATACTCCCGTGAGAAACGATAGTGGGTCTTAATTACGAGTAATGCCGCACTTTTCAGTTACAGAGTTTGGTATTAATTAGACGGTTTGAAAGATTCCTTGGTCCACGTGAGAAATATCGTTTTTTACTGTAATTTTCTTCTTGTGGCCAAGCATGTAGAAACAATATTTTTCTTTGTTAAATTATGTCAATTAATTCATATCCTCAATGGCTAACCGAAAATAAAACGTATTGCCACAGCAGCACGCACCCTCATGCCTGTGAACTGAGAACACAAGAAAGTATTCTTCGGAAAACTCATTGCGTCATCTTTATCATAAAAAATTGGTCGGTTCATAGGTCTGACCTATTCTGCAATACTCTCCATAGAACTACGGCCGCAGCTGAAGAAATATCTACGGGCTCCTGCCGCATGAAGATGTCGGGTGGGAAAGAAGCAAATGCCCATGGCTCGATGTCTGGTAGAGGCAAATGTGCAGCCCCCCGCGTCGCCATCTCCGAGGTGCATATCCGGAATTGCGTGCGATTGCGTTCGCCGAGTAGCGCGAGAGAGAGTCGCGTGAACTGCCCTTGCCGCAGAGCACGCGAGCTAGGCCCATGTTCAGAGCGATGAGCGAAGATCGCGGAATCACGGCTGCCGGGAGCGGCGTCTATCGCCGTTTCAATCAGACAGGAACGCGTCGCGTTGAAGCGAGCAAACGAGCAAGCTAGCAGAAAAAAATAAGGACGCGCGTGCACACTGCGCTGTTCTCGGCAGTAAGTGGCGATCTGTGTGACGTCACTTAAATTACCAAGTTTTCGTGACATCGACCTTCCAACTTTGCATCCCCTTCCAAGCGCGGAGAAAGACGTAGGTCTGCGCCAAAAGACCAATGATAGCATGCGTATCTTCAATCATTCGTTCTTGTGCTCCCACTACGCAGATCCTCCACAGCCTCCAGCAGTGCACATTGTGTCAACGTCGGCCACAGCAGTCACTGTTTCCTGGGACGTTGCAAAGAAGGACACTCAGCCAATTACAGGTGAGTTGCATCGCAGAAAAATAGGTAGTTATACACTTCCAGGCTTATAGTGGTGACATGAGCAGGTCAAAGCACAGAAGACATCCGTCCGTCAAACCTGGCTCATCTTTATTACTTGTCAAGGTTTTTCTTGTTTTTTTAACTCTAATGGCGCTTAGAAAACCACGTACCTCTAGAGCAACAATCATTTCTTGAAAACATATCGGTTACACCTTTCCAGCAAACCACTTACTTTTAAGCGAACCCTAGTGGTGGCAGAATAAACTCTACTGCGGAACATTGTTCGAGCGACCAAAATATTTATTTTTTATTCTTTGATACAGAATAAAATGTATTGCTGTTTGTCGCGCTGCTTGAAGTAGAGGTCTGGGCCAGCCCGCGGGACACAAGCCGGCCCGGACCGCGGGCTAAGCTCGGGCTTCACGGCTACATTCATGAAAAGCCCGGGCCTGGAACGGGCCTTGCATTCCAGTTCACAAAGCGACACAAAGCTGGCCAGACACTTTTTTTTAGCAGCAATGTTTTTTTTGGAATTTGGTTCGGGGACGGGGTAAGGGGGGGGGGGGGGGTATTTTTTTAGTTTGTATTGTTGGTTCCTACACATTCTGAGACTCCTTCCACAATTCCAAGCAGCATGTAGTAACCGTAATAGCCTATATGCGAAGGGAGGCTTTCTTTGCGTGCTTGGCGCTTAACAGCATCTTATCACGCACGGGGAAATCGGTTTTGTGCCCGCATAAAGATCACGGGTTTAGTCCTCTATCTATAGACCTTGCAGTCATTTGTCGCTCGGTCGCACGTCACGCCAACACCCTCGTGATGGCCGACGTCCAGAAACGACCGTTTCGCCGTCAAAGAAAAAGGAGAGATGAAAACAGCGCAAGTGCTTGACGTGGATGATTTTGGCTTGACTGACCGGTCCTTCGGTGACAGATGATCATGTCACTCTAATTATATCTTTATCTGACACTTAAGTATAGACATTGATGGGCCTGCCCTGCAGAAATAATGGCACTAAAGTAAGCATACGCTTGCAAGAATGGGACAGTACCTCATCCATATCTGCCTGACATCACTTTATCGAAGAATGACATATTATGCATTTTCTCAAGGATGGACAAGCTGTACAAATTATAAACAACACGAGCGACAATACCTATTTAGTTTTTGTTTGTTTCCCGTATAATCAAAGTATCTGATGCCCCAGAAACAACTGTAGTTTTTGAACATTCCGGAGTGCTAACTTAGGAGTTATACATCATATAAATTGCAATAACGGCCTGAGATGCAAATGTAAAATCATGCGACCACTCGGGTTGATATTTCGACTGCTGATACAGTAATGTATCGTTTATATGGACCCCTCTTATATGGACACTCAGCTATATAGACACCGTTTTCGGGGAGAAACTGGGGAAATACATGCGTTTATTTCTCGTTATTGTAGAGAACTCACATTATTGACGAGTTTAGGGGGGATCGCAGATGTCCATATTACCGAGACATCACCGTACCATCAATATTCTACTGAAATACTAAAGGAAATTAGCTGTGTTTGCAACAGGAACGTTTAAACAGGTGTTGAAATTAGTTTCGCGCTCTTAGTGTCTTGCTTTCTCAACACATATGATGATACGAACCTCATAAATATTAGCTCGTGTAGCAAAAAAGCGCGAAAGTATATTATGAGAACGAGTTAAACGATGACAGGGCTTTATTTAGTCTCCTCTCTCCCGCAGCATTACGCTAACGTCATTGATCTTATATTTGATAGCGTTACGTTTGAAGTATTCGTAATATGTTTACACCTAGATTTTAGAATAGTGACTCAAAATGTATCAACGGTGCATCTGTAAAAATCGGATTCACGAATTTAGTAAGAAACATCTCAGTTAGGCTTATATCTTTCAGAAACATAAGGGTGGCCATCTCAATGTTTTACAACAGGATTGTGTCCGAGGTATACCTCCCAGTGTTTGTTAGTTCTAGGCTGTTTTTTTTTAAATTTTTATCGCCGAAAGTGTTTAAAAGCTAGGATCACAGAGGAGAGTGTGACATCACTCTACAAACAAATCGCCTGGCATATTCTGGTCATTCTTACCCCAACTTAATCCGTAGGTTTGATTAAGATCCTGTGTGCTTATTATGGCGAATGCCTTATATGTCTCATCATTCAGTCGACCTTCAAAGTCCTTGAGCGAAAACACGTCGGCGTCACGAAAGGTACCAAAACGGCTACGTGACATTTGCACATTCTAATATGAAGAGATTTGTCGCGCTTGCCCCTCGGCTGGCGTCGAACCAGCGATGTTTCGTTCAGTAGTCCTACACTGTACCCTCCACACCACATCCTTAAATCATTTGTTTGTTTTTATTGCATCGATCGGCGATTGGAATTTCGCCTTCAAGTCGTCTTAGTGATAGGATAAGAGACCCTCTGAATTTTTTTCGCACGATGCACATCTGATCCTGCTTTAATTCGTTGGATTGGTGAACACCTTGTTCACCTATGTTAATAATTAAAACTTACACTCAATAAAAAAAGAACACAATTTTAGAGCCTTTGGATGCTTTTTAATGTTAGCATTTTTTTCCCGCAAGTGCTGCGCACTTGTATATTGGTCTAATTAACATAGCAAGGTCACATCATGTTGTGTGCACCATATCAGTGTTTTCTTAAGTCCTTCTGTACAGAGTACTGTTGTTTTAACAAATGTCGTTTAAAATAATAAAAAAACAGCTAATAAAAAGAGTATTATTCCCGAGTTTCATCTGTGCGAAAAGCCTTATTCAGCAGATTCTATAATGAAAAAAAATGTAAATTTTGATTTTGTTTTATACGCTAAGCTGCGAACCTTCGTTAGCAGCGCCATCTTCCCCAAGCAAACTCACACACATGCTTGTTGTAGCACCCTCCAAAAAATGTATGACGCCAAAGCGCATATCGATCGAGTTTTTCAGTCGCAAGATCTGCTCCCCGAGGGCGCTGTCCGCTCCAGAACGTTGGTCGTTTCACTTTGACTCCCTAGATGGCGGAACCGCGCCAGCATTTGAAGGTGGCACAATTAATGCTGAAACGCGCGGAGTTTGGTTCCGGCGTTATCTTAATTCGTAAAAGACAGTTCGTTAGTCGGCGTCGAAAGAGCGCGTCTATTTTCTTGTAATTTATTAATAGACAAAATGAGAGGTGTTTTTTTTCTTTTGTCACTGGCACGCCTTCAGCTAGTACAGTGCTAAACATTTTTTATTTTTGTTGTAAAAACACTGACATAACGCAGAAGATTTACACTATAACTTTGATGCGACAAATGAAGAGGTTCTTTAAATTACAGCATCGTCACTCCAAATCAGAAGGTATGGTCCTTGCTTATGCTTAATGATTTGAATCCCTTATACAATTTGCAACACTTAAATGTTTTGCAGGTCATGCAGGGAACTGGCGGAACCAATAACTTAGCAGTTAAGACACAGAATGCTAATGTCGTTAGCCATGACTTTGTCAACTTAATAAAAAAAACAACAACTTTATGTTCAAAAATGTAAGCAACTTTAGAAACCCTATAGAATTATTTTATGCCCAATCACCTTAGATGCAGCATTGTTGCGAGCTGTAATATCGCTCAACAATATTATTTCATTATTTAATGTATATTATTAGGTCAATACAGCGTGCGACAGATATGGCGCGAAGCAGACGCATACCGAATCTGTCACCGCTTCGACTTTGCGCTCTCGCAGGCTTCGTTCTTTACTGGAAGTCCGAGAGCAGCGAGTGGAGCGAGCGGGGCGTGGACGGAGCGACGACGACGCACACGCTGGAAGAGCTCAACTGCGGAACGCGCTACCACTTCTACGTCGTCGCCTTCAACGACGTGGGCCGCAGCGAGCCCAGTTCCAGCGTCAGTGCCACCACTTCCGGAGGAGGTAGTACGCTCATTGAACAACGAGCGCGTGTGACAAAACCTTTGAACGAGTCGTTGCGAACTCGTTCCTCTTCCTGTCAAACATCTCCAGCCTTGAAGAAGCTAATGTCACCATTTTTGGGACCACCCGTAGAGAAATTGTATATAAGGCTATATCGAGAATTGGGCAAGTCAGGCTAGATATGGGGGACACTGACAGGGTATTTATGCTCACAAAGATATTTATCTGTACATGACATACGAGAGCTCAGCTACACAAAACACAATTTCCGGCTCGAAAACCATTCACTAACAACTGGCCGATTTGAGTCGCGCTTACTCTATTCTCAGTGGTCACGAGCCGTTTCTATGGTTTCTGTGCTGCTTCATAAAGTACGTTCCCCATCTCAGGGTTTACAAGATGTCGATTATTTTTCCCCTACATTTAAGTGGGCACTGAATTGGTGTTGAGTTCACCTGACGTCAATTTCCCAGCTAAATCTAGCGGGAAAGAAAATGTATGTGTAAGTGACATGACCATGTCGCAGGACGTAAATTTTTCTGTTAATTGTAGCGGATAAACTGATTTTGTGCATACGTCACGTGCCTTAAAGCCATGTACGTCATGTGACGTGACATGCCACGGCTTGACAAAACGCGGTTTCACAAAATACGGCTTCACACAATCCGGAGCAAAGAACGTTTCGCGCTAAAAATAAGTCGTGGAAGCTCGTAGTAGGCAGGCCACGGGAAAGCTTCTGCTTGACAGACGTAAAGTTGTTTTGCACAACACCAGTTTCTCTCTTCAGTACTTGTCGGGTGTCACAATGATTCCCTTTACGACATACGTTCTGCAGGACCACGCCGCATTAAGAACACTTGCGCAATTTACACAACAAATGATGCAATCTCCAGACGTCCTAGGTGAAAGTTACGTATCCTTCAGTGTGCCGCATGCGCTGATGCTGAGAAACTAGACGGCATATGGAGCAATCGCTCTCGCTGCGCTCTCATTAGTTCAGTTTCCTCTCCTCTCCATTGGGGACTTCTGATGCCCAGGCAAGTATCCGCATAATTACCACTTTGAGGCGCTAAATCCTCGCCGTTTTCGGCAAACGAACCGAGGCCAATGCCGAGACGCTGCACGCAGTTACACCGTGGATAGTGAAAACACCCTGAGAAAGGGAAAAACAAAAGACGGAAAAACACAGTCTTGGACAGAAACTAGTTACTCGTAACGCGTTACAGGTAACTAGTTACTTTTGAGTAACTTGTAAGTGTAACTCGTTACTGCGTAATCGAAACAACTTGTAACTATAACAGGGTTGCTATTTTTCGAAGTAACTGTACGTCGGTACAGTTACTTCTCAGACTTATGTTCAAAAACACTGCAAACACGACCACCAAATCGCCTCGCAACTAGTGAGAAAGTGCCAAGTGCTGATACTGGAAGGGCAGAGCGAAAACTGTTGCAGAAACCGTCGGAAACACGGTCAAAAATAAACTAAATTTTAGGTGATTATGTTTGGCTAGGCTGGTCCCGCCAACTGGGATAATGCGGGAGTTTGTGTCCGTACCCGCCGTGTATTGCACATCGCCCACAGCGCACGCAAATGTAACAAAGCGCGGCATCTCTAAAGCGTTTCTCTTTCCTTCATCCGGGGGAGGGAGCGAGTGCTTTTCGCGGAAGACAGTTTTTGATTATTGTCGCCCCAAACTCCCGCAGGCTTACGGCTCGAACTGTTTTCCGAACCTCGTCTTTTTGCCGCAAAGCATGCATTTCCTTCCCCTCTAATCTGAATCGTCCAACTCACATATCCACTCTTGCGGGGTCCCAACTTTGGCCCATTTGCTTTCCCTCTTGTTCCCCAGTGCTCTTCTTCTCGGGTCCCGTCACTTGAGAAGGAATATGCGCTCGAAACGTTTACTATAGCGAAAGAGGGGCATTGTAGACAAACAGGCAACACTAGTTTCTGTGAAAATACCGTGAGTGTTCAGGCGAGCTGGTGATAGCTAATCATGTCAGATAACACCTAAGACTCTGGTGGAGAAATCGGAAACTTTTTAGTAGAAGGAACTGACACAGAAAGGGACGACTCAAGACGTCCCTTTCTGTGTCTGTTCCTTCTACTAAATTTTTTTAATTTCTTCCACCACAGTCTGAGGTGTTATATGACATGACTTGTTTCTGGTTTTCTTGAAATTGAAAGACCGACTGTAGCTGGGACTAGGGACACTTGGCATAAGTCGATTTATAAATAATCACGTCGTGGGCTTTCCGGGTGGTCCCTTCTAGTTGGGGTGCAGAGATGGAGAAGCGCAAACGTGTCCTATCTGGTTAGAAAGTGGTGGAGACAAAATCGCAACAGCCATTTAAACTTCTACACTCAGTGGTCGTTCGTACCTTGATCTGTGCTTTGTTTTCACCACTACCGTGTTCAGCGGGTTTGACAAAGGAATGATGATGCAACATTGCTCTCCTAGTTTTCAAGAGACGCTTCGTATTCTATGAAAGATTGCGCGCTCGCAGTAGAAAACGATTCGACCGACAAGTGGATTAGAGTAGCATCAGAAAAGATCTACAAAGCTGATTGCAAGGTATGAGTTGTAATATTATTTACTTCATATTTGCATGATTTCTATTGCACCCGTCCCATTTCGCCTCACCCGAAAAATTTGAGATTGTATTTGACCAATTGTAAACTCGCACCATGATTTGATATACCCGAGATCTATACGAGTGTCATTGAAATTGTGCACACCTTTAGTGGTCGCGCTTATTTTAAAGTTCTTCGTGGATCATCAGCGGGTATCTGCTAGCTTCAAATTTTGCAATTTTGCGAAAATAAAAACGCCTGTAATTTTTCTGAAAAATAAACTATAAAGGCTTCATGTAGTGTACTTACTTCAGTACTGTCTTAAATTATGACCTTGTTCCGGGAGATATTCACGGTAAAAATTAAAATAGAAAGGACCAAACATGTTAATATTCATTATTGGGAAAATCTTAGTTTCTCAAAAAATCAGATTCAGTACCGTGACCAACACAATGGCTTATACAACATCTATGCTAATTTAAAGGCATACTAAGAAAAGTTCCTTTTCAATGCTTGCTAATATTTTTTTGTAAAGTAAAGATGAAGTAATGGTGTCACGTTAGCGAAGTAACTGTAACTGTAATAAGTTACTCTTTCGATTTTGTAACTGTAACTGTAGCAAGGTTACTTTTTTCCCCTTAGTGATTGTAACTGTAACACTGCTACATATTATCAGTAATGTGCCCATGACTGCAAACACGGAGGTCTCTGAAACCTCTGTGTTTGTCCGTCCTTATTTTGTTGTTCTCAGTCTCGAGGTGCTTTTACTATGTTCAACTACCACCAGCTCGTTTGCAACCTAAACTTCTGTTTAGTTTCACCGGCATGCTTCAATTTAGCGGAGAACTCATGTGACACTGGGAGGTCACGTGACGCCTTGGCCGCACGTGACACTGTTACGTCACGTGCCACTATGACGTCATGTGTCACTAAATTCCCGCTAAACATTGCAAACAAAAATTTCCCACAATGATGTTTTTTACAATTTAGCAGGAAATTCGTGACATCGCGTGCCGTCGAAACTGTACTTTCCTGTTAAAAATTAGCGGAATATTTGTCGACCTAGACTTAGTAGCCTACGTCGTAATTACACAAACCAACAAAATCTGTTGACCTAAAAGAAAAAAGTTACGCACGACTTTTTCTTTATTTTTTATTATTATTTTTTTTTTTTTGCTTCCGAAGAAGATTTAATGCGACCGCATTTCGGATTTTCGGCACCCATTCAATTGTCCGTCGACATTCCGTTTTTGGTCTGCCTCAGCGTTGCGCCGTTTTTTCGCCAACTCTTCCTAAATTGAGAAATTGGCGTACAACTTTACACGCCAAATTAGATTTCTCGCAAAAATATAGACGATAATAAAAATCAGTGTATAACTGTGCATACTTTAATTTATTTTTAGCGCTATATTTAGTGACAAAAGCGCTTGCTGGTAAATATGGCGGGTAAGTTGAATTAGCGTGCAATTGCGCACCAATACATATTTTTCGCCACGAGTGTGCGTTCGCTAAGAACGGACGCACACGATCTCAGGGATCGGTAGCCCAGCAAATACACTCGAATTCAAAACGATTAAGTTGACAATATTGGTGGACGTTGTCCAGTTTCTCGGGGTTTTCTGAATTAACACCGCAGTCACGCTTCTACTACATCATACACACACACATAATGACATCATGCTGCAGACATAATGATATAATTATCTGCGCACAGACCTTAAACATGATCCCGGCGTGTTTGCCTCCTTGTGCATATATATGATTGGAACTGCTGACAGGATTTTTCCTCAATGACCATTGTTACAAGATTGTGATACAAGAATGCATACAAGATTGCTATTCAAGAATGCATAAATGTGAAATAACTTTATATGCAGACGACACGAATGGTGTTGTTTTGAACCGGAAATTGTTTGGTACCCTAGAGAGAAAATGAGTCAAATATTTGGCTGGACCAACTTCCCTTAAGGTCGGATGCTAATCAGTTAGAACTAAATACGACCAAGACAAAGCATAGAAATTTAGCAGAAAATAAATCTATTAATAGCAAAATTAATATATCCTTTCAAAACTTTAAGATTAAACGCGAGGAATCATTCTAAATTTCTAGGGGTTAGTTCCCATGTAAATTTAAACTGGACTGGTCAATTAAAAAATTTCCGAAGAGAACTTTTAAGATCAATTGTTTTAATTTTTAGATTCTAAGATCTTCTCCCAAATTCATTAAAACAACAACTATATACATCTATGATTCACTCGAGCCTGTATTATTTCTATTTGTCTTGGCGACGACCACAGGAAATAATCTTAAACAATTACATCGGAAAAACGCGCGGTTCGGTTACTTTCTAATCGACCATGGTTCAATTCGACCTCCCCTAGTTTCATTAAACGTAAGATACTAAAAACATAAAACCTTTTTTGCCTACGGGTAGCTATTTTAATTCGTACTTAAATTAGGGTTCATTCTGTCATTTTTAACGGCACATATTTACCTAAGCAAACAAATCATAATTTAAGACGTCAACAATTTTCGAAACCTATAATTAGAACTAGGTCAGGTAATCAAAAACTATAATTTCAGTTAACAGACATTTCAAAGAAACATCATCGAATATATGAGTGGGCCCGAAAAATCCCCATTTATGTTTTATTTAAAAAAAATATCTCTTCGATGTTTTCAGCACATATATACCAAGTAAGTTGCGTTTCAAATGGTTTTCCTTTGTGAGAAAATTGTAATTCTTGTTTCTGTGGCGTCAGGTGGTTTTATGTTTACTTCCCGTTTTGTGCGCCACTGTCGAGTGCTGCAACTGGGGTTGGGACCTAGTCAGGGGAATTCATTCGAGTTTTGAAGCCACCTCCTTGAAAAGTTTGTCAAAAATAAAATAAACAAGCAAACAAGCAAAATACGCCTCAGGTAGTGTCTTCAAACTGTCTTTTGTATGATACAATTAGCTCCGGTCTCACTAGCTTGTTCAAATCATCTTTGTTTCAGATACGTATAATATTGCTTCATGTTGCTTTATAAATACATAACCAAGAACCACGCCTTAAACAAAATCTGCAAACTGTATTATTTTTTTTTTATTTTTTTACAATGTAGTACCAAGGTGAGTGCGGGTATAAGATTACCGGCTCTCCGCAGCTCCGCTCGCCCCGGACAAGAACGAGCTGGTGACGAGCAACTCGACGGCCGTGTCCCTGCACCTGCGCTCGTGGAAGGACGGCGGCTGCCCGATCCGCTTCTTCGCTGTCCAGTACAAGCTGCGCGGACAGCGGGAGTGGACGGCCGTGCCGGAGACCATCGACGCCTCGCTGGCCGAGTTCTACGTCGTCACGGGCCTCCAGTCGGGCTCCTGGTACCACCTCCTCGTGTCTGCGAGCAACGACGCCGGTTCCACGGAGGCCCAGTTTGTGTTCGCAACACTCACCCTGAGTGGAGGTATGCGTGACCTACAACGCAACTACTCTACCGGGGAATACGTCTAGCTCAGCGAAAATCCAACGGCCTTGGCGCCGGCAGCTTTTGCGTAGATGGAGTGGCTGGACGCGCGCCGGCTTAGGTTTTTTTTTTTCTTTAGTCGCTCAGTCGGTAAACGTTTCATAGGAGGGTAAACTCAGTGCTGCTAGGTATAAACCATCTATTCTTGATGGCGAAGGGTGAATGGGTACCTAGGGTAAGAGAAGGAGAGGCTGACAGGGCGGAAACGCGGAAGATAAGATTATCTTCAGCATTTTCACACCGCCAGCCTTGCTACTGTTACACGAGCGATAATTGTAGCGCACCCACGAGCTTCCCATGTGCTTGAAGTCGTCGTAAAATGGACTGATGTAATTCTTTTAGACGACGCTCAGCATGTTTCTAACTGAAAACATGTGTTTATTTGCTTTAATAAATGTGAATTAAGAAGAGTTGGTTAATCATTCGACTTTTGTTTAGGACTAGCCTCTAAATTATATCTGCATTTGGTTGTATGACTCATCTTTTTAGGCCACCTTAATGTACCTTTGGCGGCTTTTTGTTTTTTTAATAAATATGTTCGAATTAAAATTAAAAACCTTTTATATCTTTTTGAAAGAGACCTTCTGTCATTCCCAGAGTGTTCGCCGAACTACCTCCCTTCATTTGGCATCAAAGGGAAATCGGAGACAGCCACTACCCTGCACTTCGCACTTTAGCATGAATCGGAGTATCAATTAGCAAGAATATACAATTAAAACCATAGCGCGCGCAATGCTGTACGTTCTGGGCGCCGAGGCATGCGACGTCTTTCGGAAGGGAAGGATTATTTTAAATTAACAAACAAGGAATGCGAGTAACTCACAATACGAGTAGACGTTAACAGTTCAACGCACGCTGCCTACGTCAACCGCCTGACACCAATTTCTTATTGCGTGTTCTCTCGCCAGCCACGATACCTCCGATGACTCTTCACCCAGAGGAGAGCACCGCCTTCCCGAGGAGTGTCACCCTGGTGATTCCCATCATCTGCGCCTTCGTCGTCGCCTTTGTCATCGGGGCCGTCGTTTATATGGTGTGCAACAGGAGGACACGCGCCCATGATTACAGCGCCGCGTCCCAGGCCTCTGGTAAGCAAGCACGGTATACAGTGTCTACATCTTATGTGAATCTGCGGAAGAAAAACAAAGTAATAAAAACATCTGAAAATTGTTGGTTATTAAACTATCGTTACTCACATTGAGCCTACAAAAACAGTATTTTGGCCGGTATAGGTTATGAGAAAAAGTGAGACAACATATATCTTAATTTTAAGGATATGAAGGCTCAAAACTAGACACAGTAAAAACACAACATAGCTTAACGAGAGTCTTTAAAGCCTATCTTTTGATTATGCTTTCTTCTGTCAAGGGGCAATCTTAGGGTGGGCGCCAGCTCGCTTAGACATTAACGATGCTGCCGCATATTGTTGCGATGTAGCCAACCAGAGGATGTTTCCGGTGATGCTGCATTCACAGATAGCTTGGGCCGGCAATCTAACTTTTGGAACATTTTTCGGCTCAAGGTTGTTTAGATAGGCAGAGAAAGCGCGGGCACTGTCGAGCACTGGCACGAGCTTCTCCATTAAAATCCTATCATGGTTGTTCATAATCTAATGAAAGGCAAACGTGTGTACTATATTTGGACCATTGATACCCTGATATGAAGAAAAGGCGAATTGCAATGAATTCGATACGATACACTGGACGTCAAGTAAACAACGGTACACCTAATTCGTAACGTCGTTGCACGGATGTCAAAAATTAGATGGCATAGCAACCCAGCATGTATTGAAGAAGTATGCAGGGCCCCGATGATGCCATGTGAGTTGTCCCGTTCATCAACCCGTCCTCCAAAGAAATCTGAACTTTATTGCTAGAGACGTTCCAACGATAGTCATCGCTCACCTCATCTCTTGCAGCTTCATTGTGCTTTTCAGTAGATTTTGCAATTAACGCTGTCATCCGGGTCGTCGTCGCGAACGTACTCGGCTTTCCGCGGTGAACTTGGTTCAACGTAAATTCCCATTTTTAGAGCTCAGCTCTTAGGCGTCCGCTTCCGGCTTGAGCGGCGTCGCCGTCGCCGTCGACGTCGGCGCAACCGTGAGGTCACGTGACACCCGTGACGTCCCGGGGTCTCGTGACTTTTAGGGGGGTCACGCGACCTCAGGGGGGTTCCCTTGACCTCAAGTAGGGTCACGTGACCTCAGGGGGCCACGTGACCTCACGGAGGTCACGGGGGTGACGGTGACCCTGAGGGGAGGAGGGTTAGCAGGCAGGATGACGAGGAGGGAGGAGGTGTATACCTTCCCCTCAGTACCCTTCTATCCTCCTCCTCAAGAGCTGCGCTCTAATTCGGCGTTACAGAGAGTTCTAAACGGCTTTCATTTCTTTTTCTTCTTTTTTTAGCTTGCTGTTGTATACATTACTTTATGTAAAACTTTTTTTTTTTTTTGCTATGGGCACCTTGTATTCACTAGGAGCCGCTATCGATCACACAGTGAACAGCGCCGCGCGTGGCAACTTTTCAGTCAGCTTAAGGAGAGCTGTAGAGCTCCGCCGCCGCTCAGCTGCTCCTAAGCATGCGCCAATGTTGTAGCCGAAGCAGGCATGCCGACTTCGCAACACCCACCGGTGTACCGCTGCAGTCGAGTTCCAATTGCCGCGGTCGTTTCCCGATGAGTACGCGCGACGTCGCCACGAGAGGCGTGCGTATCGGCCACTGAGTTCGATCTATAGGGTGCCCATACTCGGTGTCAACTATTTCGTACTACATTGTCAAAGCCAGTGTAACGTCCACAGCGCTGCAGCCCCGCGTTGTGAAAATACTCGGCTCTATCTTGCGTCTCATTCGTACGCACTCTCGCAACTAGCTTTGACAGAGTTGGGGTACTGTGGAAGCTACGCTAGCCTTGGTGACGCAGCACAAAATAGTTGATGCCAAAAATAGGTCTGAAAAAAATTGTAGAAACGTTTGTTTCGGTGGGTTCGTACACGCTGATCAGTTGGGTTATTCTTTTGTCGCCAAGAGCGGTGTCGAGAAAGATTTCACGCCCTTCGCCGTCATGTGCTTTGACAGAGTTGGAGCCCTGGGGATGAGAGGTTAGCCTTGGCAATGTAGAACGAAATAGTTGACGTCGAGTATAGACCGGTGTCTGCTCTGTGCCATGGGCGCCGCCATGTTGGTTTATGCTGACGCCATTACATAGTAGGGGGGCTGCGCTCTTCTGTAAGACTGCGTTTTTTTTTTTGTTTTTTTGTTTTTTTAGAAACCTTCGCAATGATCAAAATGAAAAAAAGTCAGAAATGCATATCCACGAAGCTGGAAGAACAACACCCAAGCCAAGAGTGCTGTGGAAAGCAAAAATCTTGTTTTATGCGCAGCGCCTCTTTTTGCAAGCGATCGCGTTCGGGATTAGGGTTTTCCTTTTTTTTCCACTGAGGACTAGAATCAGACGTGTTCGACATTTTGTTATAAGTGTGTGTATGTATGTGTGAGTGTTGGGGGGTTGGGTAGAAGGAGGCAGAGGTCATCGCAATAAATTACGTTTGCGTCAGGCGGTAATCGAATCCAGATCTTCTAGGCAATTAAGCGAGTGTCCTTCCAGCGTGTCACAACACGTCACCGTGAGTTGAGGTTCCATTGGGCGGAAAAGCCCTGCGGGTTATCCGCTCTACGTCCGGCAGATAGCAACTTGACACCCTGTCACAAGCTTTTAAAACCCCGGGTTAGCGTCGGTATCCCCACTCCAGGAATTGCAATCGAGTGTACCGGGTGTCCGCGAGAAAACCGATCCTTGTTTTTTTTTGTTTTTTTGACCACAAAAACTAAAACTAGACGTTGCGGAGAACTCAAACTCGGTCAGAACGTAGCGCCATCCGTTCGAGCAAGATGCCAACTTTTCAGCACCAACCGTTATCTTATTCAAACGTTATCAGCGATTTTCGGAAAATTCAATGCAAAAATGGCGGCCGACGGTGATCTCGAATACATGGAGGTTTATGGCGTCACAAAACCGAAAACGGGCAAATAAGGGCCCCATTATCCACTCGAAAAAAAAGATTAATTTATAACTTTTGAATAAGATAACGGTTGGTGCTCAAACTTTTGCATCTTGCTCGAACAGCTGGGGCTACGTTCTAACGGATCTTGAGTTCTCCGCAATGTCTATAGTCTATGTTGGCGGTGCAAAAAACAAAGCTGGTTTTTCTCGCGGAGGCCCAATACATGACACGTGTTAAGCCAGTCACCAAACAAACCGAGGAAGAGCGCCGAGAGCGTAGACGCCACACGTTTCACGTGTAACATAATTGCCAGCACTTTGAAACGCATTTTTACTTTTCCCCTTTTTCTTTTTTTTTCATTGCACGAAAACTGCTTGTTCAATGACTGCCGATGGGGCTGAGGGCCAGTCAAGCTTTTTGTTGAAGCTTTTTTCCTTTCGCTCCACCGTTTCTTTAAATGGAAATAAAGATTATTATTATTATTTTTACCTTGGTGCCTCCGCAAACCAGCTTTCTCAATTGTGCTATAATCGAGAGATTTCTTACAAATATTTGGCTTTCTTTTACATTATATAAAACTGAACTCAGATTGGGATAGGAGCCCTTCTCGCCGCGTTCGTTGAGATGCACGTCTTAATTGACCACAGCCACTGACAATTTAAAAAAATCTCGGCGAAAAGTTTATTCTGATTACGCCCCCTGCTTTATGATTTACTCTTAGGAATTTTTATTAACTGATGCCGATATATCATTGTCTGTGGAACGATAAGAAGATGTTTGATAACAAAGGTGGCTGGAGCACCCATACGCTATCACCAAATGGCTGTATGCTAAAGCAATTGTTTGGACATCTTGCAAGTTATCTCCCTCGTTTTTTAAAAGCTACGTGCTCAGGTTTCAGGTACAGTTGCGATTCATATAAGAGTTGTAGGTTGTCCCTTGCCGCTTCCCGCCTCGGGGAATAACTCAAAGAACTGGTTCAACAA